TTACTTTTAAGCCAGAAAATATTAATTATATTAAATATATAAAGAAATGTGACATTATAAAAACTCACAATATTAATTGCCACTAACTTTTTTAGAAAACACAGTTTTATTTTTTAGAAAACACAGTTTTATTTAATTCAATAATCTTCCTTGTGAATTTCAAAAAATTGTGCAAAGCTAATTCAAAAAAAGATTTTTCAACTATGAGCAATTCTCTTTGAATTGTTTCAAGAGAAAAATAACAAAGTGTTACAATTATTTTGACACACACACACACAAATGTTTGTACTAGATAATCTAACATTTATTATAGTTACAACATGGAAATAAAAAACCAACATAAAATAGAAAAATGTATGAAATTTTATATTCAGTAACATATTTAAAAAGGTTGAATTGACAACTTTTGAAATAAGAAAGCTGATACAAAAATATTTATGTAACCCAAAATTGAAAATTGAGCAGCAAATGTTACAAAAAAGTGGAACTTGTGGAAGACTTATGGTACTTCTATAAAACTGTTTGGGATTTCATCAGTCAAATTTAAAAGCCTTTTGAAATAAAGCAATAAAAAAAATGCAATACAAAGGTTAAGAAATTATAAACAGAGTTACAAAAAAGATTTTTTTAACATTGAAATAGGTATTACTTTTAAAGAAAAATATATTGCATTTTTCATCTTTTCTCAACATTTTATGTAAACTTTATTCAAAAGCTGAGTTGGCATAAAACTTATTGCAAGCTTATGACAAAATTTCAATATTTAATTTTTAAATACTATTTGAGGTAAATAATAAATTTATACATTAATTCAAATTTTTATATACCTAGGGTATTGCAAGCTTTATGACAAAATTTCAATATTTTATTCCCAAATAAACATGCTTAGACTCTTCTACAGCTTGCGGCCCAGACAACATACCTGTTATAGTCTTGCAGAAGTGTTTTCCGGAGCTGTTGTCTATCCTTTCAAAGCTATTTAACAAGTGCTTATCAGAGTCTTGTTTTCCAGCCTGCTGGAAAGCAGCATCTGTTATCCCTATTTTTAAAATTCTGGAGAGCGATCCGATTCGTCTAACTACCGTCCCATTAGTCTTCTTTCTATCATAAGCAAGGTTTTTGAATCTTTAATTAACAAACACATAATCTCTCATCTCGAATCTCATAACCTACTTTCTGATCATCAATATGGATTTCGATCTTCTTGTTCTACGGCTGATTTGCTATCAGTAATAACCGATAGGTTTTATCGCGCATTAGATAAAGATGGAGAGGTTAAGGCCATAACTCTTGACATTTCTAAAGCGTTTGATAAAGTTTGGCATGCTGGTCTTCTCCATAAGCTTTCTTCTTACGGTGTATCTGGAAACATCTTTAAGATTATTGAATCCTTCCTTTCCAATCGTAGTATAAAAGTTGTCCTTGATGGACAGCACTCTTCTTCTTATTCTGTAACCTCAGGGGTTCCTCAAGGTTCAATTCTTGGCCCTATACTCTTTTTAAATTACATTAACAATTTTCCAGATATTCTCACATCTAAGGTGGCATTGTTCGCTGATGATACTACCATTTATTCTTGTCACAATAAGAAGCCAACTCCCTCTGATTGCTTGCAGGGGACATCTGAGCTTGAAAAGGATCTGACTTCTGCTACAGCATGGGGCTCACAGTGGCTGGTGAACTTTAACTCAGATAAAACTCAATTTTTTTCAACCAATCGTTATTGCAATAGTTTAGACCTTTCTATATTTATGAACGGTAATGTACTCGATGAGTCATCTACCCTTCATCTTCTAGGATTAACTCTTACTTCCGATCTTTCTTGGAAACCTTATATCAAATCCATTGCAAAATTAGAATCTGCTAAAGTTGCTTCTCTTTATCGAGCTTGTCACTTTCTTACTCTGAATTCTATTCTCTATCTCTATAAATCTCAAATCCGGCCTTGTATGGAATACTGTTGCCATATCCAGGGTGGATCTTCTAATGATGCCCTTTCTCTTTTAGACAAGGTTCAAAAATGCATTGTAAACATAGTTAGACCTGCTCTTGCAGCCAACCTTCAACCTCTGTCACATCGTTGTAATGTTGCTTCTTTTTCTCTTTTCTACAAATACTATAATAGGCACTGCTCGAGAGAGCTAGCGTCTTTTGTGTCATCTACTAAAATTCATTCTCATGTTACTCGTCATTCAATTAAGTCTCATCCTTTTTCTTTTACTGTTCCTAAGTGCTCCAAAAAATCTTATTTGTCTAGTTTTTTTCCTCGAACATCAGTTCTTTGGAATTGGCTTCCTTCATCTTGCTTTCCTAATTCATATAATTTGCAATCTTTTAAGTCGTCTGTCAATCGTTATCTAGCTCTACAATCTTCATCTTTTCTCTTCCAGTAACTTCCAACACTTATTAGTGGTTGCTTGCAGCCTTGTTGGAAGCGAAGATAATTAAAAAAAAAATACTATTTGAGGTTAATAATAAATTTATACATTAATTCAAATTTTTATAACTTAAGGTATTGCAAGCTTTATGACAAAATTTCAATATTTTATTTTTAAACACTATTTGAGGTTAATAATAAATTTATACATTAATTCAAACTTTTATATACCTAGGGTAGGCATAAAGGGTTGGGGGAAACAATCTATAAATATTGGTTATTTAACCATGTTTAATAAACATGGTGTATAATAGCCAATATGAGTGCTTCAATAATGGTCAATGATTGGTGGAAAAAAAAACTATTAATTCTTTTTTTAAAGTTTTTAAACATTTTTTTTAAAAACCTTTTATTTTTTTAAAACTCTAAGAATATCAAGAAGCAGTACCCAATAGTAAATTAAGAAAATAATAATAATGTAACAAACAAACATAGTATTGTTAACTTCAAAATACATATTCAAGTTCCCTTAATTTAAATCTGGGATTAGAATCCCTGAGGGGTTCCAAACCCACTACCCCTCAGAAAGCTAAATTTAAATGGTTCTATAATCTGGAATGGTTTGAAAACCTTCTTAAATCAGCAACCCCACTCCAAGCTTTTCCAGGAAAGGTGTGCGGTTTTTTGTCTTGTATGTCCACGCAAGAGTATTTTATTTTAGACAACTTGGTCATGGCATTTGCTTTTTTTTTATATATTTTGCACAAAAAACGAAGTTTTAAAAACAAAGAAAGCAGAGCTAACAAAATAGGAAATTAAAATAATATTTATTCTATTTAGATAAATAGCAAAAAATAAATATAAAATAAAAATAAATAAAGTAATTTGTGTACTGTTTTTTTTTTGTTTGTTTGTTTCTTTAGAGTGGTTGCTATTTTTAACAACAAAATAATTGATAAGGCTAAGCAAAAAAAAAATAAACAGTTTTAAATTGACATTAAAAAGGATGATTTTCCTGTATTTTATTTGTTTGTTTTTTTAAAGAGGAAATAGAAAATAGAAATTGCTATCCGTTTGTAAAATATATTTGTATAATTTAAATGTAACAAGTTTGTATTGTCCCTATACGAAAACATCTGTGTAATGCGTGCATATATACTAGTTATATAAGTTATACATAATATACTTTTATGTATAACTTTTTTTATTATATAAGTGTATTTATTTGCTCATAGGTGAACGCACATTTAGCTTAATTAAATAAGGCATAAACCATCATTACGGAAGGTCCCTGGTTTAAACTCCACCTCATCTAAAAAAAAATTTTGTTTTTCAACCCTCCCGTAAACAATTATTAACAATTATTATTAATAATTGCATAACAAATAATAATAAAAACTATTAATTGTTTACCAATAATACTACAGACCAAAAGGGAGGGAGCAGGCAGAAATAAAAGTATTGAGCCAAAGCTGAAAAAGCATCAGGTATCCAAAACTACATAGTGCTAAAAGAATGGGGATAAAAAACCTACAGGAATAAAAAGGTAATATTTTAATTAGGGCTATGTGAAAAAAGTGTAGACAGCATTGTCTAATTAAAGCTTTAAAACTATGTATATATGCCTATGTGCCTAACTTAGAAAATACACTGAAAAGCTTATATGGTATAAGAAACCTGAATGTGAAGAGATGTGTATCATTCATAAACGTACAACAAAAAGATTTTTTATATACAAAAAAGAAAAGATAAATGGTTATGACCATAAAATATATGACCAGTGGTATTTAAAAGAAAAACTATTAAAAAGAATTGACGTTGGTGGGATTCAAACTACGGACTCATCGTGTTTGAAGTAAACGCCTTATCCAAAAAAGCTAAATGTATGTATATATATGGACAAATAAATATAATTATATAATAAAATAAGTTATACATAAAAGTATATGAATACATTACATATATGTTTTTATATAGGGACAATATATACACTAAAATTATACAAATATAGCAAACAGATAACAATTTATATTTTCGTTTTCCTCTTTAAATAAAAAACAAATAAAATATAGGAAAATCATTTTTTTTAATGTTGACTTGTTTAATGTGGAAAGTGATTTTTTTTTTTTTTTTTTAGCTTTGCCTTATCAAATTTTGTTGTTGAAAATAACAACCACTCTAAAGAAATAAGAACAGTAAACAAATTATTTAAACTCTTTATTTATTTTTATTTTTTTCTATTTAAATTTTAGTTTCCTTTTTTGTTAATTTTGCTTTCTTTTTCTTGAAACTTAGTTTTTTCCACAATGCCTAATATAAAAAAACCTGCAAACGGCCATGCCCAAGTTGTCTAAAATAAAATATTCTTGCGTGAACATACAAGATGAAAAACTGCACATGTTTCCTGGCATGGCTTGCCTTTTCTCAGAACCCCAATTTGCGGAGTTCTAGAACCTGCACATTTCTGAACCTTTTTTCCAGAAAATTTGGGATTCTAGAACCCTATCTAAAGTTGGGTTTTAAAAACTCCAAATTTTGGTGAGTTTAGGTATAGGGTAGAACCCCATTCTAATCCCTGCTTTAAACAAATATTGGATATAAAAATTTATTAAAACTGACTTACATTATAGTAAGGTACTTGGCCTGGTTGCGGTTGGTAGAAGTTTGGGTTTTGAGGAGGATATACAGGGTTCTGTGGTTGATTCATATTATTCATTCCTGACGCTTGGTAATAATCTGGAGGTGGTCCACCTTATAGAAAATAATTCTATTAGTAACTAAAATCAACTTTTAACAAACTTATATAAACTTAAATTTGTACAAAATTTATTTTCATGAATATTGACAGACTGTTAAACTTTAAATTGTAGAAGGTTCTAACATATTTAACACAGTTAAATGTTTAAAAAGTTAAAAGTCAAAAATTTAAATGTTTAAAACATTTATTATAAAACACACAACATTATCTTACATTTGCTTTCTCACAAATTAGTTTTTTTTTTTTTTTATAAAAGTCTTTCAAAAAGTTTTTTATAAACTGTTTATGGGTGAAACTTTCTGATGACTTTTTGTACCACAAGTTTATCATTTTTGGAGGATGTCTTAATAAGATCACATACTCGGTCTGCTGTGTACAGCCTATTGTGTTGGTTAAGTACTTGCTTTGTAATACTTGAATCCCTATCACACTGCAAGAAGTAGTGCACACTTATTGGCTAGAATTGCTCAATCTTTTCAAACTTCTTTAAGTTAGTCATGGCTAAGTAGTCTAGATAATGAATGGGAACACACTACACCTTACCTGATGTGCCTTGGTGGTAAACAAAAATGTGTGCTTTGTTACCATTATTGTTATGAACACAAAAAACATTAAGCAAAAGTTGTCTCAGATAGAAGGTTTTTTGCATTAGTATTTTTGGAATCTGTATATTCTGCATAAAGTCAAAACACAACAATAAAATTTGACTATTGTCCTTGTCATTGCTGTCTTTTCCAATTCAATCATAAAACTTTTTAGATTTGCATTTATGTACATTAAGTTCAGATTAAGCACATCTCTTTAGTGCCTCATTAAAACAAAGACTTCTTAACTTTAAATTGAGTTCTTCTCAAGAGCAGCATATGTCAACTTGCAGCCTTCCGAAGAAAAGATTATAGTCTTCTTTAAAGCAGTTGTAAAAATTTGCTTCGCCAATCTTTATTGAAAATTTTTTTTAAAAAAAAAGCTTATACGTAGTTTAAATATTTAAATTGGCATCTATATAGCATATAGGCTATTTCCAAAAAAGTGGCTTTCCTTAGTTGGAAAGCTTTCAATGTGCTGTCTGATAAAAAGTTTGTTTTCTTCAGACAATGCTTGTTTTATATGACATCCTCTATTATGAACTCTTCTTTTTTTTTTAATTTTTTTTTTGTAACAGCAGGTGAACTTAAAAAAGTTTGAAAACATATCTAAATTTGATCAGAACCCATCAGAAGGTGATACTTAAAGGTAGCACTATTTTAATTTAGAACTCTTATCCTTCCTGGGTCATCTGCTTTTTTTCTTGGGAATCAATCAAGGTTTGAAGGAAAAAATCCCGCTGAAAAAAATCTTAAGTGTTAAAGGTATGGAAATGTTTGAATATATCCATTTAATCCATTTAATTTAATATGATTTATAGAAAGGCAGTTTGACAAACACGATTCGTTTTAATGAAATAGTTAGCCCAGTAAGTCTTGTTAAATACCCTTTGGCAAAATCCCATTCGCATTCATTTAGCAATGGTCACTTTGACATTTAGTAGAATGTGATTGTCCTGCTGCACCTTATAATTTGTTTTGAAAAGATCACAACAAAATGACAAAACATCATCATGGAGAACAAGTGAACATCCAAAAGCAGAGCATTTCTTGGCATTCTGACCCTCGGGAGTAGATTTTGTCTTTGGTCGCTTTCAACTTTATGTTTATATTTACATGTCGATGTTACATCAATGAAATTCACATTCACTTGGTGCCTACAAAATTTAATAAAAACATTTTTATAATCAGGTTAGGGTTATAGTGAGGTTAAGAGTAATAATGGTTTGATTAGAGTAAGCTACTACTGTTTGCTTAGGGTATGGTTAAGGTTTGGTTAGGGTTACATCAGGATTTGCTTGTCATATTAGGGTTTGATAAGGGTTATGTTACAGTAATGTTATCTCTGAGCAGTTTAATTTGAAGTCCCAAATGCAATTATTATAGAGGGGACTTAGGAGGTGAGGAGGGAAGAACTTTTGAAACAATTAAGTCATAGATACTATTCACTTAATACCATGACAAAAGTTGCATACCTTCTCAATTTTGCTTTTAACCAATTTCCACCAGTACTTTTCTATTTTCTAGACCCCTCATCCACCATAAATATTTCTATACCCTCATAATTAACATCATAAATATCAGCATTTGCAATGTGCGCAACCATTTTAAAAGTTGTTATCGTTGCTATATTTAGCAAACTGACGCAATAATAATGTGCTGTGATTGGTCAATACTCGTTTAATACTTGTTCGCAATCTGTCTGGTTTTGCATGTCTAAAAATGGAATCGAGGAAAGGACTTGTCTGATTCTGCAGATATCAACAATTTTCATCACCCTTTATCTCAAGGATATGTCTGATTATGCACGCCTGACTTATTTGAAGACGCGTAGAACATGTCCACAATACTTGGGGCACTAAAAGCACTATAAAATATTAGGAGTGGACTTGTCTAGTTTAGCAGATTCACTCCTCAAATATAGTAAGAATAACTTAGTTTTTATCTATTTTACATTCATCTTTTTTTTTCATCTGAAAACATCGTATGTTTTGACCTGGTTGTCTAACTGACCATTGGTCTAACATTTTTATTTGTAAATTTGAAAAATCTTAAAGCTATTGTTAATGTTTATAAAAATGTATTTTATTGAAAAACATAATTTTTATTTGCAATTATTCTGAAAATACATAATCAACTTTAATCATTTTAAACATCTAAACATTTTTAATTGTGAATATGGTGGGAAATTTTAAATTAATTTTAACTTGTCCTGTCAACTTAACCAAGGTTGTTTTTGAGAGGTCCAAATATTAACTTTTTAAGTCTTAGCTAAGTAACAATTGTGTGTTAGTTCATTAAAACATTACCTATTATATGAAAGAAAACACTCACTTTTGTTATCCTTATCCATTTTCAATCTGATTAATCTGTTAAATCTTTAACTAAAAAGAATTTTAATATTGATTATAAGCTAAATCATATGTAATTAGTCCAATCAAATTTTAAGTCATTTGTCCAATTAAATCACATGTCATTTGACGAGTTAAATTACATGCCGTATGTTCATTTTTTAAAATTAAATTCCATAAAACAAGATTATTATAACATTTAAAATAATGAAAAGAAAAAATTAATAAAACTAAAAAACGTTATTGATTTTTAAAACTTTTTTTCCTTATTTATTTTCTTTTAAGTCTAAAAAAGTGTCTAGAATAATGTTGACATTTAAAAATAAAGTGATCAGAGTATATTAATACGCTTAAATTACTATATTTATGTATACATATTATACACACTTACTTTAACATTTATACTGAAGGGTAAATTTATTATACTTGCGCTTATACTTTATGCTGAAGATTCACAGCTCCCTATTTCAGTATGATATCAGATTTCGTAACTAAGTACACAATACTACACATCTATATTTATATAAGTGTGTTTGTGTGTGTGTGTGTGTGTGTATCAGGGATGAACCCAGACCTGTTTTAGTACTGCTGGAGTGTTATAGACGCCCGAAAAAAAGCGCCCAAAAATTTTTATTATTTGTTGTTTTACTTTTGCAATTTTTATTAAAAATACGAAAAAAAGTTTTTGTTTAAAATACGAAAGGAAATAACTAATTTTTTATTTATTTTAGCTAGTTAATTTTTTTTTATCATAATAAAATGAATTAATAAATAATTACATGCCTTAAATCATTTAACATTTAAAACTAGTATATTGGTTACTAGGGTCAAATCATAATATTTTAACCAATTTGAAGAAAACTTTGTGTATCACCATCTCTGATTTTCCTGAATTTTACATATTTTTATGTGCATTATGTAGATAGGTTAAGCTTGAAATTTCGGACTTCCAAATACAACGGTTCAGAAATTATAGCCTTAGAAACATGACACAGTGGCCCCCCTCAATTTACAAATTGTCAAAACAGACTACTTTATAGCTGAATAATTTTTTTCTCACTTTCAACAAGTGTTTTATTTTTTCTAGAACTATTTTCTGGACAGTTCCCTTTTTTAAAAAGTGGTTTTAATTAACTTGTATTAAATTAGTGAAAAATTATCACCTCTTCAACTTTGGAAAAAATCCTAAAATTGCTCAAATATGCCAAAATCAAACTAACTGTAGCATTTTTCTGTTCATCCAAAAGTCTTTATAGTTAAGATTTCTGAATAGCTACTACTGTCTACAATAAATAGGCAAAATACACTTGGCAAACTTAAACAAATTACCAAAACTAACCTTTTATATAAGTTGTGTTCCAGTTTTTATGGGCCTGTCACTTGGAACTTGTTACACATGGAGACAAACTGCATTTTCTTAGTGGAACGCTCATTAATTTTAATTGTAATATAGTCTCAGTTTTATGTTCTATTTATAACATGTGTGAGGAACAATTGTTTGGGACCCTGAAGTCCATTATGCCCCATTTCAGCAACAGCAGTTATAACATTAAAAAAAAGTAATTAATTTTAGTTTTTAGTTAAATACCTAATTAATTTTAGTTTCTATTGCTAAAATAATAAATGGTGCTGCAAATAAAATCAAAATAGATGTCAAATATTTTATTTAAAATTTAAATTTTATCTGATTATGCAACTTTAGAGTATCAGTATGATATTATTTCTGAGTCTGAAAGCTGATATAAAATGAGTAAACTTTCTATTCTTAATTTCCTTGAACTTGTCAATTCCTCCTTCCAGTGTTTTATAAAGATTACCTGTCATTAATGGAATAAAAATGCATTCAATTCTTTTTTCATAACTACAATTTGAGCATTATTTTCACTAATACTATATATATATATATATATATATATATATATATATATATATATATATATATATATATATATATATATATATATATATATATATATATATATATATATATATATATATATATTGTTGTGTTTTCTATTTTTTGTTATTGAGCTATTTTTATTATAAATGTGTTTATTTTCTTGTATCTTTAGATTAGTACAATTATTGTTAAATAAGCCTTAATCAAGAGGTCAATCTTTTTATTAGTTCATTACAATTTATTTAACAAACATATAAAATTGTTTGGAAATGTCAAAGACCTTAAAACCGACGAGGCTTGATCTTGATCATAATGCACCAACTGCTTCAAAAGAATGGAAACATTGGAAACGAACATTTGAAAATTTCATTGAGGATTGTGGAGAGGATGCTCCAGTCAAATTTTGTTTCTTCAAATGTTTATGATTACATTGAAGAGTGTGATTCCTATGAAAGTGTAATTGAAACCCTAGAAAACTTATATATAAAAACCCCTAATGAAATTTTTGCAAGGCATCAATTACTTATAAGACATCAAACATCGAGTGAATCCTTAGAAGACTTTCTTCAGGAACTACGTAAACTCAGTAAAAACTGTGATTACAAGGATGTTTCAGCTGAACAATATCGAGAGGAACAAATAAGAGATGCTTTTATTTCTGGAATAAATTCGAATTACATTCGTCAACGACTTCTTGAAAATTCAACATTGAATTTGCAATCAGCATTCAACCAAGCTCGTTCTCTTGACATTGCACAAAGAAACTCAGATTCTTATATGCAGAAAACATCCTCCTTTTCCTACAATTTAAATATTGCTGCCGCTATAAAATTACCAGAAGAACCCTCAGCAGCACTGACTATTGCAATGACTATTAATCCTCAAACAAAATGCATTTATTGTGGTAATCAATCTCACAACCAACGTAATCAAACCTCTGCTAGGAAAAATTGTCCAGCTCAAAATCTAACCTGTTTTAAATGTGGAAAAAAAAGTCATTTTTCCAAAGTTTGTCTAGGCTGGCCGATGAATATAACCCACAGTGTTTCAGCTGCAATACATAAACCAAGTTTGTGTACTGTGTCAAGTGGTTGTCCGTTGAGCCTCTCTCATGCAGCTGTTATTGTCAGAATTAATGATGAACCGTTAACTGCACTAATCGATTCCTGTAGCTCAGATAATTTTATAAGCAAGAAAATTATAGAGACTTTAAAAATTAAAACGTTACCCAGTAAAAAGAAAATTTTGATGGCCCTCACAACAATGGAGTCTGGATTAGTGGGCTGTTGTTCGGTTAATCTTAAAGTAAATGGTTTATTTTATAATAATGTTCAATTTGGTGTCTTAGAAAATCTTTGTAGTGATATCATACTTGGTTACGACTTCCAAAAACTACACAAAAATTTAATATTCCCACTCGGTGAAGAAAAAGAAGACTTAATTGTCACAAAGGAAAGTAACCTATGTGCACTGCAAATGGCAAAAATAAAAATACCATCCTTGTTTACAAGCATTTCAGACAAAACTCAGCCGATAACTACAAAATCAAGAAGATATAATAATGATGATCGAAACTTTATTGAAAGTGAAATATTACAGTTATTATCGGATGGTATAATTGAGCCATGTTTATCACCATAGAGAGCCCAAAAATAACAAAACTAAATCTAACAAAAAAAGACTTTGTATTGATTACTCTCAAACAGTTAACCTTTACACTGAGTTAGATGCATATCCTCTTCCCAGAATAGATGATATGATAAATGAACTTGCAAAGTACAAAGTATTCTCTACATTTGACTTGAAAAGTGCTTACCACCAAATCCCTATTAAAAATTCAGACAAAAAGTATACAGCATTTGAGGCAAATGGGAAACTATTTCAATTTTTCAGGATTCCATTTGGAGTTACTAATGGTGTGTCTATGTTCCAAAGGTCTATGGACAAGTTTGTTGAAAAAGAAAAGTTACATGACACTTTTCCATATCTTGACAATATAACCATTGGTGGTTATGATCAGGCACATCATGATAAAAATTGTCTGCGGTTTCAAGACTCTTCACAACGTTGGGGTCTAACTTTAAATGAATTAAAATCGGTTGTTTCAGCTTCTTCTATAAAAATTCTTGGTTATTGCGTTAGTCATAACAACATAAAACCAGGTTCTGAGCGATTACGCCCTTTAGACTTACTACCTCCTCCTTCTAACATTTTATCACTTCGGCGAACTTTGGGTATGTTTTCTTACTATTCAAAGTGGATACCTTCGTTTGCTAATAAAGTTCGGCCTTTAATTAATGTTAAATCCTTTCCTATCAGTAGTGAGGCACTTGAAGCATTTCAATTTCTTAAAAGAGAACTTCATGCTGCCACTTTGAGTTCTATTGATGAGAGCTTACCTTTTGTTGTTGAATGTGATGCATCAGATGTAGCCGTATCAGCTACTTTGAATCAAAATGGTCGTCCCGTTGCCTTTATGTCTCGAACATTAGGCAAAAGTGAAATCTATTACCCATCAGTTGAAAAAGAA